GCGATGCCAAACTACGGCCTGCACTGGTCAGGCCGCTTGACGAGGAGGCGCGTGGTATGACTTGGTTTTGTCTGGAAGCGAAAGCGGGGTAGGTAATTCACGCTCTGAGATGTGGTGTGGCCACCGCTGCAGCGGGAGAACCATCTCCGAAAGGCCGAAGGCATTCCGATGGAAACGTACACATCCGACAGGCTGGCCAGCGTGGTCCTCGAACAGTGGGTTCCTGCGCTCTCGGTGTGCACTCTCCGCGGTGCACTCGGGCGGAACAGGTCGTGCAGAGGTTTCCTGTCTTCCATGCAGCTTGCCTTTGAGGGAGCTCCTAGGATTTGGAAGGGTCCTCGGAGGACGATTGGAGAGCCCGTCAGCCAGCTAGCCAGCCAACCAGCCAGCGAGCCAGCAAAATAAGCTAGCCAACCAGGCAAACTGCCAGCCACAAGCCTGCCAGGAGAGAAGTTTTAGCGAGATGAGCAAAGTCCAATGCTCGAACAGACATCCCACCCACCAAGCCAGAACTCGTTTGCAAACTCAGCAAGCGCAATGACGCGGGGACATTTCTCATTCCGATTCATGACTCGGGCGGGCAGTTGGTGATGGTGACGACATCGGCGACGGCGGCAATGGCGATGGTGATGGTGGCGGCGCTGATGACGAGACAGACGATGACGATGCTGCCGACGACGACGACGACGACGACGACGACGACGACGACCACGACGACGACCACGACGACCGCGACGACGATGGTGGTGATGGTGATGGTGATGGTGGTTATGATGGTGATGGTGATAGTGATGGTGATGGTGATGGTGATGGTGATGGTGATGGTGATGGTGATGGTAATGGTGATGGTGACGGTGATGGTGATGGTGATGATGGTGCTTATGGGGATGGTGCTGGTGGCTTTGATGATGACGACGACGACGACGACGACGACGACGACGACGATGATAATGATGATGATGATGATGACGACAACGATGGTGATAGTGATGAAGTTGATGGTGCTGATGCTGCTCGTCCTCGTTCTCCTCCTCCATCATCCTCCTGTTCCTCCTCCTCCTCCTGATCATCAACGTCCTCCTGCTCATCCGCCACCTTCTCCAGTAAAGACCAGATCGGGAAGCTGGATCGAAATCGGAATCCCCTCCGGACATCCAGAATGTGGCCCGGGAATGGTGTTCTGGGAACAGGAAGAACACAAAGTGGCCTACAGTTGGCTCCGGGGTTTCAAAATGTGGCCCGGGAATGGTGTTCTGGGAACACGAAGAACACGAAGTGGCCTACAGTTGGCTCCGGGCATACACAATGTGGCCCGGGAATGGCGTTGTGGCAGCGCGAGAGCCCAAAAGTGACGACAGTTACAGGGTTTGGATGACCCGCTCGGATTACCAACATGATCTGCGCCTCACAATTCACTCACAGACGAGGCTCCCGCCTGAGACTTCCTCCAAAGTCAGGCCTGAAGAGCCCAAAAGTGACGACAGTTACAGGGTTTGGATGACCCGCTCGGATTACCAATATGAAGCGCGGGCCCCATAGGGAGGGGTTCCCGCTTGTGACTTCCTCGCAATTCACTCACAGACGAGGCTCCCGCCTGAGACTTCCTCCGTACTCAAGCTTGAGGAGCCCAAAAGTGACGACAGTTACAGGGTTTGGATGACCCGCTCGGATTACCAACATGATCTGCGGGCCCCATAGGGAGGGGGCTCCCGCCTGAGACTTCCTCACAATTCACTCACAGACGAACTCCCGCCGAAGACTTCCTCCAGGTGAGTATGTGAATGAGTGAGCGTGTGACAGAGTGCGAGTGATGATGATGATGATGATGATGATGGTGATGATGATGATGGTGATGATGATGATGATGATGATGATGATGATGGTGGTGGTGGTGGTGATGATGATGATGATGATGATGATGGTGGTGATGATGATGATGATGATGAGTATGTGAGTGATTGAGCGTGTGAGAGAGCGCGAGTGATGATGCTGATGTTGATGATGAGAGAGTGTGAGTGAGTGTGAGTGTGAGTGAGTGGTGATGATGATGAGTGAGTGAGTGAGTGTGCGAAGGCAGAAGAGGAGAGGGGGTGGGGTGAGTGTTCCTGCGCGGGGTGTGCAGAGAAAACAAGAACCCCACTTTGGATGTGGGAAACAGGAGGGCGAGGTCGGGGGCAACGTAGGGAGCGGGGGGAGGGCCCGCGCCAGGGCGAGAAGAAATATACGCAGAAGAGACAGTCAGGACGCCTCACCATTCACGAGGACGACGGTGAGCGCTTTTTCCAGATTCGCCCAGAGGATTCTCATGTGGGGTCCTTCCGTCGGAATAATTTTATAATGTGTTGAGGATGTCTCCAGCGAAACGCTGGTTTTGCAAAATCGAAGGATGTCTCGAGCGGGGGCCTCGTGGGGGGCCAGAATTCAAAGGATGTCTCAGGCGAAATGCTTGTTTTCTCGTCCCGCTCGCAGGAATTCCGAGGATGTCTCGCGCGGGCCGCGTCCCGCGCGCAGGGATTTTGAGGATGTCTCGACTAATTTGTTTGTGTTGCCCGGATGTCTTGGGATTCTGACAGGATGTCTCGAGCGAAACGCTTGTTTTTCATCTTTTGTTGAGGATGTCTCCAGCGAAACGCTGGTTTTGCAAAATCGGGGGATGTCTCGAACGAGAGCCTCGTGGGGGGCCAGAATTCATAGGATGTCTCAGGCGAAATGCTTGTTTTCACGCCCCGCTCGCAGGAATTCCGAGGATGTCTCGCGCGTACCGCGTGCCGCGCGCAGGAAGTTTGAGGATGTCTCGACTAATTTGTTTGTGTTGCCCGGATGTCTTGGGATTCTGACAGGATGTCTCGAGCGAAACGCTTGTTTTTTCATCTTTTGTTGAGGATGTCTCCAGCGAAACGCTGGTTTTGCAAAATCGAAGGATGTCTCGAGCGGGGGCCTCGTGGGGGGCCAGAATTCAAAGGATGTCTCAGGCGAAATGCTTGTTTTCTCGTCCCGCTCGCAGGAATTCCTAGGATGTCTCGCGCGTACCGCGTCCCGCGCGCAGGAATTTTTAGGATGTCTTAACTAATTCGCTTGTGTTGCAAGGATGTCTTTGGATTTTGACAGGGTGTCTCGAGCGAAACGCTTGTTTTTCATAATTTGTTGAGGATGTCTCCAGCGAAACGCTGGTTTTGCAAAATCAGGGGATGTCTCGAGCGGGGGCCTTGTGGAAGGCCAGAATTCACAGGATGTCTCAGGCGAAATGCTCGTTTTCACTTCCCACGTGAAAACGCGTGGTCTCCTACGCCTCAGAGCGGGACAAGCGTGAAAACACATGGTCTCCTAACGCCTCAGAGCGAGACAAGCGTGAAAACACGTGGGTTCCTAATGCCTCAGAGGCCGCCCCAGGAGGCCCCAGGAGGCCTCCCCAGGGCCCCAGCGTTCCTTGTCGCACTTACTCGCGGCTCCCCTCCCTTCTCTCCAGCTCGAGATTAAGATCCAGATCAGTTCGGTCAGGACTCGGATGCAAAGGAGGACTCGATCCACAACGCTATAGAGCACAATCGCGGCATGGCACATCGCAATTCAGCACGGCGAAGCACAGCACAGCCCTCGGCACGGTTTATCAAGATCGGTTCTTTCAGCATTGCAACTTGGCACGTTCTCTGGCACGTTCGGTGGCGCGTCCAGTGGCGAGACCCCTTGGCACATCGCGCGGCGCGTTCCCTGGCACGTCCCGTAGCACGTCCATTGGCACGTTCCGTAGCGCGTCCCCTTAGCACGTCCCGCGGTGCGTCCTCATGGCACGTCCCCTGGCACGTCCCCTGGCACGTCCCTTGGCGCGTCCCTTGGGACGTTCCGCGGCGCGTCCCCCTGGCATGTCCCCCTGTCAATTTAGCTCTGGAACAGCTACTGTGTGCTCAAGCAGCTCGAGCTTAAGATCCAGATCAGCTCGGTCAGGACTCGGATGCAAAGAAGGACTCGATCCACAACGCTATAGATCGCAATCGCAGCATGGCACATCGCAATTCAGCACGGCGCAGCACATCACAGACCTCGGCACGGTATATCAAGATCGATACATTCAGCATTGCATTTGCCCGTCGCCCAATCAGGTGTCTTTGAAACGTTCCCATGCCATAGATTTCCATATTCCTTTCCGGGTTCGTGGGTCGATCATGTTTGTTTGCTTGTGTTGTCCTACTGTTGCTTGCTTTCTACGGGAATGGAGAGGAGGGGAGGGAAGGAGGTGGAAAAGGAGAAGGGGAGCGGAGGGGAGCGGAACGGAGCTGGAAAGAGTGCGCTCCTCTTTCTGTAGAATCATGGGAGGGGCGAAAGCGTCACACCCCAATCCAGTCTGGAGCTAGGAGCTAGGGGGAGAAGGGGAGGGAAAGGGGGAGAGGAAGGTGGATCCGGATGCGACGGAGACAGAGTCGTCCGCATTGAGGTCCAGAGGGGAGCCCTCGGAGCGAGTGGAAAGGGCAGCGCCCGTCCAATATTCCTCCAGGGGCGCATGCGGGGACCGGGAACGGAGGCTCGGAGGGAGACGGGGTCCGACCGGAGGTGGAGGCGTTTTGCGCCGGAGCGACACACCTTCGACTCTGTCAGCGAAAGCCCCTCGCCGTGCCGAGAAATGCAAGACCTCCTCCTCCTCCTCCTCCTCCTCCTCCTCCTCCTCCTCCTCCTCCTCCTCCTCCTCCTCCTCGCCGACTTCGTCAGCTTCTCCTTCCCCACGTCCCAAGACCTCCGATGTCATGATTTGTTCAATGCGCTGGCCCCAGAGCTCTCGACACCGTTCATGCGGGACCTGTTTCTCATCCGCCTGGGATCTGGAAACGGGCCTCTCGAGGCCGAAGCTGAAGAAAAAGCGCCAGCATTGAACAGACCACAACGTCAGACAACTGGATCCTCGCTGAGCGTTGAACTTTGAACGTTGAAAAAATCACTACGTCGAAAATCACGTCCGACGTTGAAAGACGCGCGACGTTTCTCGTGCAAGCAGGCCGTGGGCTCGAAGCTCAGCGCTGGATGAACTGCATGGAGCTGATGGCCCCGAGGAAGAAGACGGTCGGCACCGCCAGCATGTGCACTGCGAGCCAGCGGAAGGTGAAGATGGGATAGGCCACGGGAGTCCGCGCCGCCGCAATCTGGTGAGAGGGGAACTGTTGCTTCGCGCGTCGAGACGGCGGTCCCGGCAACACCCTACGCACTGCAAGCGGATAGCGTGTCGCTCTGCTCCGCGGGGCGGGAGGCTGGGAGAGGCTCGGGACGCTGATGTCTGGGGCCTGGGATGCGGATGCCGTGTCGCGCCGAAGCGGCGGAGCACCAGGCTGCAGGAAACCCGTATCATGATGATGCGCGTTAAGTATGCAAGGGCCTTGGAGGCCCATGTGACCAGCGAAGGCCGCCAAGGATGGGCCGAATGGGGCCAAGCGGGCTGATTGTGGGCCAGAAATCCCGGCCGTATGTATGGCGTGAATGCTGGCTCGGGGCACGGAGGGGGAGAATCGGCCCAGCATCTGGGGGAGCAAGAACAGGATCAACGACGCGCCGCCGCGGGGAACCCATGCGCGTGCGACTGCTTACGCATCACTAGGCCTAGATCGGGAATGTTATCCTGCAGGCGGATGTTGGAAGAAATACAAAAATAGTCTCTCTCTCACACAGAAACACACACACACACACACAAACACACACACACATACACACATACACACACACACATACACACACATACACACAAAAAACATATCAAAAAAATCTAAAAATCGTCCCCAGACTATTCCCGACTATGTTTAACTTTTCCTCCTGTAGAGGGACATGCCCGACTTAACACTAGGCCTTCGGACAAAAACGGAGGAGTAGCACGCTCACGGGCTACCCGCGGCGGCGTGTCCTTTACAATCTCTTCCCCCCTGCAAGGCTCGGCGATACACCGCCGATAGGCTGGCGATGACCAGGCGCAGACAGCGAAACCACACGCTCCTTGGCGGGCTGAGGCACCCAAGCCCCGGTCGGCGACGTGTGGGCGACTGAGGGTCGATGTTCCCCACCCTCGGAAAAGTCCCCCCTGCTCAAACCGCAGATGTCGCGATTTGTTCGCAACGTGGACCCCTCTGGAGGTCTCGCCCACTTCCCCAGGACCTGTCTAGGGGGCCACATGTGAACCCTACCCCACCCTCCCCCTCAGAAATCGTGGGGGGTAGGGGTAGGGTTCGCACGTGGCCCCCTACTGTCTTTCGTCCCGGGTCGTCTCCTGAGCGGTCCCCTGGACCTGGTGTGGGAGGCCCCAGAAGCCGAAGCCTGGCAAAAAGCTCGCTTCGTTGACTTGTTTCACGACGCGAAGGGGTCTTCCGACATCCGCCGAGATGACTTGTCAATCCGCGGCCCCAGGAAGGTCCCGACCGCTTCCCCGAGGGCAGCGCTACATCGCAGGCCCCTGCTTGCTTGCCTGGGGGGCCGGAGACGGCCCGGGGACAATCCAAAACGCCATGGATTGAAACGCCCGAGTCTTGCAGACTGGAGGAACGCCATGGAGTGCCTGGACCGATCCCGCCGCCGCCGATCCCGCCGCCAGGAACGCCATTCCTGGTCCTCTTCTTGAAGCGCCATGGATTGAACGCCATGGAGTGCCTGGATCGAAAAAAAAACATCGGAGATGTAGGCCTGGGTTCCGCCCACCCCGCAACCTGCGGCTTCTGCTCCGCCCGCCGGGCCGTCCGGGCCTTCGTGGCCGCGGCGGCGGCGTACCTGCGAGGCGGGGACTCCTCCGCATCCACCGCCCGGGCACCGACGTCCTGCGTCCTGGGACCCCACCGGGCGGTGGCCAGGGATACTCCAGATTTCGTAATAAAGGGAGGGGGGTCTCATTTCGGGGGGGGTCTCTTCCAGGCTATCTTGGAGGGCCTGGGGGGTCTGGGGACGATGTTTTGGAGGGTTCTCCCACGGGGGAGGTCTGAAATGGCTTGTCTTGGAGGGTCCAGACCCCCTCCCTTTTATTACGAAATCTGGAGTATGCTTCGGCCCCAGGGGGGGCCGAGTAGATCCATATCCACCGCCTGCCGAGGTCTCCCAACACCGATCCTCGAGGCAGCGGCTCGTCGGACCTGGGCCAGGGGAGCACCCCTCGAGAACACGAGACCCTCCGCCGGCCAGAGCGCACAGAACATCCAAGGGTACCCTCCCCAGGGTGCACAAGAACGTCCAAGCAACACGAAGAACGCTAGGGTACCCTCCCCGAACCGACCTCGGTCTTCTACCTCGGTCCGCCTGCATGCGAGGTGGCATAGCGACCCAGCGCGGCACGCTGCGTCAGAGACGAGGGCGCCGCGCGACCTTGCGCGGTGCGCGGGCAGCTCACGCGCCCATGCCGGCCAAGACGGTCCGACGGGACACGTCTCCGCCTCGGACAGAGTCTCTCCGGAGGCCCCGAGCGAGGCCCGCGGGCCCCCCCGCGGAGGCTTCCCCGAGGGGGGCACCTCCGGGGGCCTGCCCTGCTATCTCGGGGGGCCTCCGAGGGCCCAGGCGGCGCCCCAGAGGGCTGCACCCTCGATCCTCGAGGGCTGGAGGAGGCATGGAGGGGGAGGCGCAGGAGGAGGAGGCGCAGGAGGATCAGGAGGAGGGCCGAGGTCGAGGACGAGGAGGCGAACGAGGAGAAGGGCGGTGAGGGCGAGGGGCATACAAGGAGGGCGAGAGGGGGCAAGAAAGAGGAGGAGGGCGAGGAGGAGGAGGCAAGGAGGGAGAGAAGCAGGGCAGCGAAGAGGACGCAGGCCGCAGCACAGAACGTGCAACCCACGAGCCGCAAACACGCCAGCTCAGGGGAGAAGAGCGCCTTGAAGGGTCCCCTCCCCCTAGAAACCGTGGGGTGGTGGGGTAGGGATTGCACGTGACCTCCTAACGCCAGCCACCTATAGGTACCCGTGGGAGCCCACCGAGTCATGAGCCTGCGACAGGCGGCTCCTGTCGATGGGGCGCCTGCCGTCCGCGAGAGCCAACCGCGGGCCCGCCGAAAGGCGCAGGACTCGGCGGCGCCTCAGGGGGCAGGAGGTCCCCCCAGGCCGTCGACACTTCGGGGAGCCAGCCGCCGTCCGAGCCCCGCAGAGGGTACAAAAGAAAACCATTTAAAAAAAAAAAAAAAAAAAAAAAAAAAAAAAAAAAAAAAAAAAAAAAAAAAAAAAAAAAAAAAAAAAAAAAAAAAAAAAAAAAAAAAAAAACGTCGACCCATGTAATAAGGATGGGCGGTGAGGACGCAAGGGCCTTAGAGGGCCACGTTGGCGTTTTTCGAACGAGGCTGGCCAGCGAAAGTCGCCGAGGATGGGCCGAAGGGGCAAGGATACCAGGGTACCCTTGGGAAGGTTGCCCATCCTTACCATGCGGGTTGACTTCAAGATGCACCTCGTGGCCGTCTCATTCGAAGGGGAACCCTCCCACCGCCGCCGCCCTCTCGGCAGCGGCGCAGCAGGAGCAGCAGGACCTCCCCCGCCCCTAGAGGCACGAGAGCGCCACCCCATCTGCTCAACCGCCTGGGCCAGGGCCTGGAACATGGGGGGGGGGCGGCGGATCGCACTTCGCCCCGTGGCTTTCACAAGGCACTGGATGGAGACCAAGCCAATGCCAAGCAACGCCTGCACTGGACCGCGGTCGAACCAGGAGCCAGCAGGATAGGGTCGTGAGCGATGAAAATGAGCCTGTCTTGCCTGACCACCGTTTTGGGATGAAATGGAGCAACCCCCTGGGCCTCGGGACGAGAACAAATCGACTGCACAGCCCGCGCCAGGAAGTCAAAGGTGAGCGTACATTATTTAACAGCAGCATTTGAGGAGTCGACCGCGACTTGTGCGACAGCCACATCCTGGACACCTAACTTCGTAAACAAAATCAGCCCAGGGATTGCCCGTGAACCGATGGACCTTCTCCGCGGAGGCTCCCAAGCCACAAGCTCACCTAGCGTTCTGACCGCTGGGGTCCAACTCAGCTCGGGTCTGCCGCCAACTTTTTCCGTGAGACGGAAGATCCTTCTCCAGACGGAGGCGTGACGCGACAGGCCGCCGCTCGAGCACCAAGTCCCAAGATTGAGCCTCTCGCACAAACTCCAGTGCTCACCAAGTATCGTGAGGTTGGGGGGTCCCACACGCATGTTGCATGCTCATTCTGGGGACCTTCCTGGAGCCACTCGCTCCACTCGTGCGTCGAAGCTGCGTCGAACCTGAGTCGAACCCGAGTCGAACCTGCGTCGAACCTGAGTCGAACCTGAGTCGAACCTGAGTCGAACCTCAGTCGAACTTGAGCCGAACCTGAGTCGAACAGATCCGTTGGGTGGGCCCCGGGAAGGTCCCCGAAACGAGCATCGAACGCATGGACTCCAGACCCGCCCGCCGCTCACCTCTGGGAACCGCCCCGACGCGGCCCGGCAGCCCCCCTTCAAGCGTCGCTCGGAGAGGCCGGCCGGCGGCAGTGACCTCGACCGCACGCCGCCCGCAGCCGGCAGCCTCCGGGCCAGCACCAGACCTACTTTAGTAGTGGAAACAATTGGTTTTCAAAATGTTTGGTCTTTAGAGGCTCTGCGTGGCGACGCCCCCGTCGCCACGCGTGCCCTCTGCGTGCCTGCGGGGACGCCGCCACGTAGAAGTACTGGAGGCCGAGCATTTGGGGCGTCGAAACGCACGCCCTCTGCGTGGCTGCGACCTTTTGTTAAAACCCTTAAAACCAAATAAATTCACTAATGAGGTACAGTAAGAGCCCGACCACGAGAAGCCTTCCACGGGAAACCCAGCCCTGGAATCCCAGGACGTCCACTGATGGCTGGTGGAGGAACGTCACTGCGCGATGAGGATGATGAGGGCGAGGGAGCAGCGGCCGAAGCCGCACAGGAATACGAAGGGAGCCCGCATAAGAGAGGAGCCACCTCCCAAGCCGACCACCCGAGAGGAGAGGCCCCTTGCTCCCGCAGGAACTCCCTACGCTGCCTGACGTGAACTGGAAACGGGCGCCTCGCCCAGTCCTCCTCTTCAGAGGAGGCGATGGCAGAGTGGCGATCGCAGAAATGGTGGCCGAGCGCACCACGCAGGGCACCGCAAAAACGGCGATCGGATCGCCCCTCCTCCGTTCGCAGCACGTGCGGCGCCGTCATGTCCCACCCTTTCCTTCGAAGAGCGAGGATGACAGCCGAAATGGGACCAAAACACAGTCACCACATGCCGTGCTGACGTGTGCGAATCGCCTGCCACGCCGCTCCGAGCTGCGAGGCGGAGATCTTCCAGGCCCACAGCCAGGCAGCACAGCGAGCGAGAAGCGGGCAGGTCGCCTCGAGCGTAGGATCACGCATCCGATCTTGTTGCGCGCAGGTGCAAACAGTGAGCGACGCGAGGCCTGTCATGGCCCGAACCAGTCCGCCCGCAAGAGAGCGCAACTTCGTGAGAGAGGAGCCCGTGAGTCCAACGACCCCCGCCCCGTGCCTGCCAGACGGCATGACACCCGTTCTCCACCCTGCCACCGCTCGGGGGTCCATTCCCCGTGCGTGCTTCGAGTTCGTGCATTTCTCGTCCCGCAAGGTGATGCGTAAACGCTCCTCGATGGTCCTCGCCGAGGAGATTGAGCGCACGTCCGAGCGATGCCAAGCCACAGGCCCCGGACCTTCCACCCCCCAGCCCGCCTGAGGGCCCGAGGCCTGCCGCGGCGCCCCAGTACACCGTGCCCAGACGCTATCTCTCCCAGGCCCCGGGGGCCACCCGCCGGGCAGTGCCCAGCGGCGCCACCCGCTGGGCAAGCAGGGCCGCCCGCCACCAAGGGACACAGTCGGCCCGGGTCATAAGGGTGCGCGAGAAGGGTGCAGGGGCCTTGGACGCCCATGTCGAAGCTTCTCGAGCGGGGGCGCGGCCGACGGAAGTGGTCAGGGATGGACCGAGGAGGCAGGGATGCCAGGGTGCCCCTGGGAAGGCTGCCCACCCTTGCTGTGCAGGTCGACTGCAGAGAGCAGGGAGGGGTCCGACGGTCCCGCCGAAAACCCCCCTCGGGGGGGGGGCCGCAGGAGGGGGCCTTGTCTTTCTGCCTCCACGGTGCGGCCTCGAGCCAACCCCACCGTGGGCCAGCGGCCAGGGAAGAACTGCCGGGCAATAAAGAAGAGGAGGAGGATTTTGCTTCCTCCGCGAGCTCCAGCCTACATACACCCATGGTAGTGGGCCAGGCCACCAGGAGGAGTCAGCGGGGAGCTTGGGTCCGCTCCACCGCCACGCGGGAGGCTGACCAACCCAGGACCCCCCGACCACGGGGGGCCAGGACTGGACCTGACCAGTCCTGGAGGAGGAGGAGGAGGAGGAGGAGGAGGAGGAGGAGGAGGAGGAGGAGAAGGGAGGAGGGAGAAGGAGGACGGAGAAGGAGGAGGTGGAGGATGAGGGAGGGGAATTCGGAGAGCTCGGCTTTATCCCGAAGCCTTCGAAGGGGGGATCGGCGACCTCCGACCACCGACGCCCTGATGCTCTCACCACGTGACCCCCCCGAAGATCTGTACCTTTTCCGGGGGCGGGGGGGGCGTCAGGAAGGTGGGGTCCAGGGGCAGAGGTGAGGCTGAAAGGGACACCGCTCGAAACGGCCCCCGAAGGGGGAGCTGCAAGAGCGCCCAGCCGGGCTCGCTCCCTGAAGCACCAGTGTGGGATAGCACCCCCCCCGTCAACGCCAGGTGCCCCCGTGTGTTGAACCCTGCCCCCCACCCCCCACGATTTCGCAGAGGGGGGGGGGGCCACGATTTCTCAGAAGGGGGGGGGTGGGGGGGGCGGGGCTATAGGGCCCGCGTGGGGTCACCGACACGTACCCTCGGCCCTCTCCGGGGGGTCTCGCTCCTCGCCCCCCCTCCCGCCCCGAAGGGCCCGGCGCGGGGCCTCGGCCCGGGGCCGAGGACGGCCAAGAGAAGCCCTCCGCTGTGCCTGCTTGCGCGGCACGAGGCTGGCCGAGGAGGGGGGGAGGGAGGGGAGGGGAGGGGAGGGGAGGGAGGGGAGGGGAGGGAGGGGAGGGGAGGGGAGGGGAGGGGAGGGGAGGGAGGGGAGGGGAGGGGAGGGGAGGGGAGGAGGGAGGGGAGGGAGGAGGAGGGGAGGGGGAGGAGGAGGGAGGAGGAGGGAGGAGGAGGGAGGAGGAGGAGGAGGAGGAGGAGGCAGACACGGAGGGCAACGACACAGTCGATCAAGACGAAGACAGGACGAGGATGAGAGCGGGTACGGCAGATCCAGAATCTCTGAGACCCCGCGGACCTGGAGGACGCCTCGGGCGCCGCGGCCTTCTCGGAGCGTTCCGGGACGCTCCGAGAGCGTTCTCCGGAGCGCACGTCTCCGCATCCCGGCCTCGTCCCTGTCTCTACCGCTGCTGCTCTCCAGCATTCGAAGCTGCGCGCGCGGTGTCCGAGGTGCGAGGGGGTGGGCGCCGCACGCTGGACAATCTCTTCCGTCGCGCACTCCTGGTGCACGTCGTGACGACAAGAGGGACCGTACGTCGACAAAATGTTGCACCACTTTTGCCGCGCATTGTCAGCTATATTGCATTGCTCCTCCCCCCCCCTCCCCCTGATCTTGATATTGGGCACATGGCAAAGGTCCCTTGGCGCCCCCCCAGGGCTCGCGACAGAATGTTGCACCATCGAGCCGTTTCGATGAACCCGGGACCGCAGCCAATGTTAAGATTGGGGGAGAGGGGGGTGGAAGCGAACATCCATTGCAAAATCGGCTTGCTTTCTTGACAACACCAGGTGGTGCAACATTTTGTCGATGTACCGGATGACGGGGCACAAGCGATTTTGGGGGCACGCCCACACGGGTCTCGGGCCCGCCCTGTTGCTATGATAAGAGGACCGAGCAAGAGACGGAGTGCGACGGAGGCCAGAGAACAACTCACAGAAGCGTGTGGTCGTCCCCATGGCGCCCAGCAGCGCGCCGAACAGCTCGCCAAGCGGACGCAACGCACCTCCCTCACATGGCACTATTGGGCGCTGCTTGGACTCTGTTCGGCGCTACTGCACGCGATTGGGAGCTCTTGGGCGCGGCGCGCGAGCTATTTGGCGCCGCATTCAATGCGAAGCGAGCGGAAGCTTCCACGACTTCACACCTAATTGAGGGGGGCGACGAGGAGGCATTGGGCGGCCTTTCCCGCCAATATGGCCCCCAGGAGCCCCGCCGTGCATCCCAAGAGGCTCACAAGAGGCCCCGGAAAAGCCACCGAGAGGCCCCCGAGAGGCATCCCCAGAAACCAGACGAGGCGCCCAAGAGGTGTCCAACCCAGATCTGCCCCCCCAGGCTCGCCGCCGACGGACGGATGGGGGGCGACGATAAGACGAAGCCAGGGCGAGAATAAAATGCGGCGAGGATCCATCAAGAATCTCTCAGATCCGGCGGCTTGGGGGGACATTCTCCTGGGCGCCGCGGCCTTCTCAGGGTGTTCCGGAACGCCCTGGGAACGTTCCAGAACGCTCCGGCACGGACCTGTCTTCGTCCTACACCCTGCGAAATGCTTAAGAAATCATGGGTTAAGAAATTCATAGTCTCAGAACTTGAGTGGAAGCCCAGAATTTCCATCGAAATCTTAGGATTTACATGGAAACATTAAGAATAATCGAGACTCTGGCCGAAAACTTGGGTTTTCTTAACCATCGCCTAAGGTGTACAACCCTCCTCGAGATCACACGCAAGTGTTTCGTGTGGGTCGACGCGCGAAGGGCGGCCCCCGGGGTCAGGCTTTCGTGACTGCAGTCGCCCACTCCGGCGCGAACGTGGAAGCTTGGGGACCCTGGGACGCCGCCACGTCGCGGGGGGAAAACTTGCGATTGATTTCGAGGAGGGATGCAGCCCCAGAGCTGTCGAGGATGTCTCTGGAGGATCTCTCGGGCGCCGCGGCCCTCTCAGAGCGGTCCGGAACGCTCTAAGATCTGAGAGCGTTCCGTAACGCTCTGGAACGGATTTATCCTCGTCCTGGCCCCGTCCGAAACCATCGGCTGCGAGTGAAAGGGGGAAGTGAGAAGGAGAAGGCCTTCTCAGAAAGCGGCGGGACTTCTCAGAAGCACCGTGCTGTCTGATAAGTCGTCGGTGTTTTCGGGGAAGGCAAAGCCCCTCAGGAAGGCTTGGCGACCTCTGAGCCTTCTGAGAAGGCCCGCCCCTTCTCGTTTCCCCCCCGGGCTCGCCGCCGAAACTGGGAGGACTCGGGTCGGGCGAAAGGGGGGGATAGCCAAGGGGGGGTGAGGATCAGCTCACGTAGCTGATTTTCCTGGCGCCTCCCGGCGCCGGAAGCGGCCATGCATCGAGGAATGGGCCCCTCGGTGGGGCCGAAACCAGCCGCACGCAGCAAATTTCGTACCCCCCCCTCTCCCAATCCCCCCCCCTCTCGCCCGGCCCGAAGGACGAGCAGGGCGCGGACCCGAGGCCGAGCCCGGCCAGCACGCTGGCGCCCCACGGCGCGTGCTCCGCGCTGGGCGCCGGCGGGGCCGCGCCCGCGGAGGCGGCGGGGAGCGCCGCCTCCCCGAGCGCCCGCCGCGGCCGGGGAGCGGCCCCCGCCGCCATCGGGCCCGCAGCGAAGGCGCCGCCGCCGCCGCCGCCGCCGAGGCCGTGGTCGCCGGCGTCGCCGCCGCCGTCGCCGCCGTCAACGAAGCGGCGCCGCCGCCGTCGCCGTCGCCGTCGCCGCCGGCGTCGTCGTCGTCGCCGTCGTCGTCGTGGCCGTTGCCGGCGTCCAGGCGGCGCCGCCGCCGTCGCCGTCCTTCGTCGAAGGGGCGCCGCCGCCGTCGCCGTCGCCTTCGCCGTCGCCTTCGCCGCCGCACCCGCCGTGGCCGTGGCCGTGGCCGTGGTCGCCGTTGCCGTCGTCGTCGTCGGCGTCGTCATCGTCGTCCTCGTCGCCGCCGCCGCCGCCGCCATCGCCGCCGTCGTCGAGGCGGTGCCGCCGCCGTCGCCGTCGCTGTCGCCGTCGCCGCCACCGCCGCCGAGGCCCGTCTCCGAGGCCGTGGTCGCCGCCGTCGCTACCGCCGTCGCCGCTGTCGACGAGGCGGCGCCGCCGCCGTCGCCGTCGCCGTCGCCTCCGTCGTCATCGTCGTGGCCGTCGCCGTCGTCGTCGTCGTCGTCGCCGCCGCCGTCGCAGCCGCCGCCGTCGTCGAAGCGGCGCCGCCGCCGTCGCCGTCCTTCGCCGCCGCCGTGGCCGTGGCCGAGGCCTTGGTCGCCGCCGTCGCCGTCGACGTCGCCGCCGTCGTCGGGGCGCCGCCGCCGTCGCCGCCGCCGTCGTCGTCGTGGCCGTCGCCGCCGCCGTCGTCGTCCAAGCGACGCCGCCGCCGTCGTCGCTGCCGCCGTGGCCAAGGCCGTGGTCGCCCCCGCCGCCGCCGCCGCCCGCCGCCGTCGTCCAGGCGGCGCCGCCGCCGTCGCCGTGGCTGTCGTTGTCGTGGCCGTCGTCGTGGCCGCCTCCGTCGTCGACGTCGTCGTCGCCGTCGTCGAGGCGGCGCCGCCGCCGTGGCCGTCGCCGCCGCCGCCGTCGTCGTCGTGGCCGTCGTTGCCGTCGTCGTCGTCGCCGCCGTCGCCGCCGCCGTCGTCGAGGGGGCACCGCCGCCGCCGCCGTCGCCGTCGCCGTCGTCGTCGTGGCCGTCGCCGCCGCCGTCGCCGTCGTCGTCGCGGCCGGCGTCGCAGAGGCCGTGGTCGCCGCCGTCGCCGCCGCCATCGTCGTCGTGGCCGCCGTTGTCGTCGTCGCCGCCGCCGCCGCCCCCGCCGCCGCCAACGCCGCCCGCCGTGCGAGCCCGACCCGCTCAAAAGGAGTCGCTGCACGAGGAAGGCAGGCACGCGATCCACCTCGTACTGGTTATGATTCCCACTCGTCTTGGTTCGGTCCAGAGTGTACGGTCAGGAACTGCTGCTTGGCGTGTCGCGGCGACGGCCCCCGCGACACGCTACGCCCTGCGAGTGGGTAGCGCGTCGCTCCGCTGCACGGGGCGGGATGGCTGGGAAAGGCTCAAGACGCTAACGCTTGGGGACTGGGACGTGGGTAGCGCGTCGCGCCGAAGCATGCTGGGCGAGAACCAGCGGAGCGACACGCTAAGCAAACGTTTCCGACCGCACGCGATCCACTTCTTAATATTGGTAGCTGTGGGTATAGGCGGCGGGCTGAGAGCGGGCAAGAGAGTGAGGAAGGAGAGGAGGGGGGGAAAGTGAGGGAGACTGCGTCATCTTGCTTCTGATACTCCTCGTCTCGACTCTGCTTCCAGGCGGCCTCCCTGATAGAAGCCCCCAGGGGATGCCTCCTCGCGGGTCTCCCGACCTCAAAATCTGGCCGTGGCGGCGAGAGCCTCCGGAGACGCCCCAGGCATCCCCCGAAGCGAAGACGCCGTCGCCGCCGCCGCCGCCGGCGCCGTGCTCGCCTCCGCCGCCGCCGTCGAGAGGGCGCCGCCTGGGCCCGCTGGCTGCGCACGGCGCCCGGCACGAAGGCGCACGCGCGGCTGGCGAGCGCGAGCACGGCGGCGACGCGGGCGAGGGCCATGGCGTGCAGGCTGTCGGGCCGGGGCCCCCAGACCTCCGAGTTTGCCCTGGAGAGACGAGCGACGCCGAAGTTCACGCGCGGCGAGCGCACGGCCGTGTCCGCGCCCTCGCGGGCTGGATTCCAGGGCGCGAGTTTCCGCGGGTGCGCGCTCGCACGGACAGCTCCCGCGCGGGGGGGCATCCGCAACAAAGACGCCGAGTGGCGACGGGGTCACGGCCCAGGGGTTCGGCCCAGGAGGCCGCGGATACGGATACACGTCGGTCGACAGAAGTAGGTAAAAACATGCAGCAGGGAAAGGCGATCAAGTAGATTGGGCGCGGGTCCTCCAGGAGAATAACAAAACATAGCAAAAGCATATCGATTCTTGAAGTAGGAAGGCGCTAGAAGCAAATTGGGACCTGGGAATCCAAAAATACCCACTTTCAAACGACCGGCGTGTATGCTTGTCACCCACGAGAACTTGTTGCGTATGTTGCACTGCACTTCTCGGCCTCAGCGAAGACCCTCGTCACCACGGCAGGATTCCCTTCGGGATTCTGGCCAGAAGGCGCCCCATGACGGGCCTGGGGAAGGATTGACCCCCGAACAAGAAGCTCCAACGTCTTTCGAGAGTTCAACTCGGGGCGAAGGTTTTTCGCAGTCTTCGGCATCTGGAGGCCGTCTTCTGGCCCCGGCGCCGTCAAAACAATTATCTGGGACGCACAGACGGTCCGGGAAGGGATCCAGAGAGCTCTGGGGCCTACATGCTGAAGGGCAAAGTATCAAAGGTCTGGGACTGTGGAAAGGTGGGCGCTGCTGCTGCGGCTGAAGCCGACGCCTGAAACTGATTCGAAGCGGCTACAAGCCCGTGCTAAAAGCAGCTGGTGTCTTTTCAACATGCACACACACACACCCACACACACCTAATTTCGAAGAGCGGTGTCGATGTGTTTTTTCAAACTTCGTCGGTCGCACGATCAACGTTGAACTGAGGGGGCCTGGGGGCTCACCAAACAACAGCGGTTTTTCGCACGGGGTTGAAGAGAATGAGAAGGTGAAGACGACGACGACGACGACGAAGACGACGATGACAACGACGACGACGACGAAAAGGCACGAGAAGGAAGAAAAAACGGATGACGACGACGCAGGAGGAAGGACAACGACGACGACGACGAGGACGAAGATATGTTTCACGCGCCAGGGCAACGAGAAACACGCAGTACACACATGCGATAAGAAATCTTGTTCAAAGAAATCTACGGTCACACTTGCCGTCGATCTTTGAAGTTCCTGAGGTGCCTCAGGGCATCCACAGGTCCCCAGGGCCAGCAAGGGATAAGAAATCTCCGCGGTGCACCTGCTGTCAGGTTGGTTTCTTAACTGGCATGCCTGCTGTAATGAAGGGCAGGGAGGTGATGGGGGGGCGAGGAGAAAAGCGAGGAGGATGACGACAACGATGACGTAGTAGGAAGACGAGACTGTTGGTGAGAAGGAAGAAGGAGGGTGAAACATCGCGTCCATGAAGTCATGGTTGCCCGCCATTACCCGCCCATGACCCGCCGATGACCCAGTCTATTACCCGTCTATTGTTCACGAATTACCCGCCGCATTTACTTGTTCTATTATCCTAACGAGATAAGCGGGCAATTGGGAAAAGATGGGCGGGTAATACACCAGATAATAGGCGGGCAATGGCGGGCAAATATGATTTCACTCCTCCGCGCTCCTCCCTAACTTCTGGAACCCTCCCACCCCTCCTGACTCGTCCGCACTGCTCCCAAGAACCTCCGGAACCGTCCCATTCCTCGGCGCTGCTCCGCACTCCGCCGAAAACCTGCAGAACCTCCCATCCATCCGCAACCCTCCGCACTCCTCCGAAAACCTCCAGAACCCTCCCTTCCCTCCTAAACCATCCGCACTCCCCAAAAATTGCCAGAACCCTCACGACCCTCCCACCCAAAACATCGCCATCATCATCATCATCACCACCACCACCACCACCATCACCATCATCATCATCATCATCATCATCCTCCTCCTCCTCCTCCTCCTCCTCATCATCATCATCATCATCATCATCATCAGCATCATCATCATCAACGTCAACATCATCATCATCATCATCATCATCATCATCATCAGCAGCATCATCAGCATCAGCATCAGCATCAGCATCAGCATCAGCATCAGCATTAGCAGCAGCAGCATCATCATCAGCAGCAGCAGAATCATCAGCATCATCATCAGCAGCATCATCAGCATCACCATCATCATCACAACCACCATCATCATCATCAACATCATCATCACCAGCAGCAGCATCATCAGCATCATCATCAGCAGCATTATCATCAGCAGCAGCATCATCATCAGCATGCATGATCATCAGCAGCATCATCAGCAGCATCATCAGCATCATCATCGCCACCACCACCACCATCATCATCATCATCAGCATCATCATCAGCAGCAGCATCAGCATCAGCATCAGCATCAGCATCATCATCATTATCATCAGCATCAGCATCATCATCATCATCATCATCATCATCATCATATCAGCATCATCAGCAGCATCATCATCATCGTCATAATCATCATCATCAGCATTATCATCATCATCATCCTAATAATAATCATCATCATCATCATCATCATCATCATCATCATCATCATCATCATCATCATCATCATCATCAGCTTTATTGTCATCGTCGTCTTCTTCTCATTAACTTCAACCCCGCGCGAGAAGCAGATGGGTTTCGGTGCCGAACTGTTGTCTCGAACCTCGCCGGTCGCACGATCAACATTGCACTGGGGGCGCCCGAGGGCCCACCAAGCAGCACGTGCTTCTCGCACGGGCATCTGTAGCTCCGCGGGAGGAAGAGAAGGAACACCCTGCGGCGAACGGGCATCCTGATATCTCCAGATGCCGCTCTCGAGACCCCGAGTGCCAATTTCAACGTTCTCTTGCGCCCACTGCGGTTCCCTACGCCCACACGCTGGCGCCGAGCGCGTCGTCTCGCTCCGGGGAAAAAGGGGAGGAGGGGAAGGAGCACGAGAGGAGCCCGAAGAGGCGGAGGAGGCGGCCCACTGAGGCCCAGCATGATGCCACCCACGCCTGCTGGCAGAGAGCAAGAAGCCAGCTCGAGGACATGGCAAGGGACAGCCCATCGGCCGTACCCATCGGTCGGAAGAAGTAGGTAGGAACATGGAGCGGGAAGGCGTTCACAATAGATTGGGGTCCGTGCGCCCCCTAGGGAGGACGGAAAATGTGAAGCCACTCGATCATTGAAGTAGGAAGGCGCTCAAAGTAGATTGCAAAGTAGATTGAAATCTGGGAATTCGAAAATACATACTATCAACGACCGATGGGTAATTATGGGCCCCCTGGCCCACAGCCTCGGTCACTTTCTCATGACGTCGACTCCCAAAGGTCTCGACCCATTCCCTGGGACTGGCTTTTCATGCTGACTCGTGTTTTGACTGCCCCGAGGCCCAGCGAGGGCCCCCTGAGGCCAAAAATACTGAAACTAGAACCACGCGCGAGCGCTTCGCGCGCGCTTGGGTTCTAGCAAGCTCTTGTTATAGTCTACAATGCTCGGCGTCGGAGGACACACAGTGTCACGCGGATCGTGCAGCTCAGGGAGATCCACCGACGGCCCCAGATACAGGCTTGGCTTAAGAGTCCCCCGCCTATGCTGGCACACCCCAGGGATCGCGCCCCGCAGGGACCTCCACCTATGTCCCCAGAGGCAAGGTTCGCATAGTGGCACGTCTCTCGCGCGGATCGTGCCCAGCACGTAACTGCATCTGCGGCACCAGAGGGGAGCTTCATAGCGTCGCCTGGCGTACTTCGGCACACCTCTCGCACGGATCGTGGCCCGCAGGGACTTCCACGGACGGTCCCAGAGGCAAGGTTCGCATGCCGCCCCCCCGCCTACTTCGGCACACCTCTCACACGGGTCGTGGCCCTTAGGGATCTCCACCCATGGCCCCAGAGATAGGGTTTGCAATACGCCCCTCCGCCCATTCCGGCACACCCCACCACGCAGACCGTACACAGAAGGAACACCACCTAAAGGCCCAAAGATAAGGTTCGTACAGCGCTCCCCCCCATGCCGGCACACCCGTCACGCGAATCATGCCCCAGAAGAAGCTCCGCCTATGGCACCAATGGACAGCTTCGCATGGCGTCCCACCGCCCATTTCGGAACATGCCTCGCAAGGGTCGAGTCCAGAGGAGGTCGACCTGCGGCCTCAATGGGCGTGTTCGCTCGGGGGCATCCGAATTATTCGGCACACCTTCATGCGGACCGTGCCCCACAAAGAGTTCAGCGAACCCGTGCACGCGTGCTCCGAAGGAGCCCCATTTCCGCGATGCCCCGCGGCGTGCAGTGTATGAAGAGAGACCCGCGCCCCGCGCTACACAAGCCAATTGCTGGCTTATCTATGGCCTTCGGCCCATATCACTACTGTGCCTGAGTTTGGGGCCAGGGGATTCTCGGACACCTGTCTGTTGGCATACTTCTCGGGCACCTCGTGGCGCGACTTTTGAAGCATCTTCGGGCCTCTTAGGGGCCTCTTGGGGCCTCTTTCTGAACTCTTGGGGGCCTCTTGAGGGTCTGTCTGCCACTTGGAGCGGAAGGCTCGAAATGTCAGTTTGAGTTCCCCCTCGTGGATCCCTCTTCCGGCTCTATTGGGCGCCTCTTGGACCGTCTTGGGGCTCTCTTGGGCCGTCCTGGGTCTCGGGGTGCCTCTTGGCCCGTCTTCGGAGCCTTCGTGGGCCTTCTTGGCGTCATGGGAGTCGTCTTGAAAGGCGTCTGGAGCCATCGCTGCGGCCTCCTGGGGCCTCCCTGCAGCCTCTTGGGGCCCTGTTGGCCCTGGGTCGCCGAAATCCTGTAAAAACACAGGGAAAACGACGCCGAGGCCCCACGCGGTCGTGGTCGCGGCCCGCGGCCCCCCCCGGACCCGGTCCCCCGTTACATGTATAAACCTGCCGTAGTGATTATGTTCGTGCCTTGAGGGGGGTCTCTTCCCCTTGCGCCTCCCCCGCTCCATCAGAGTCTTGTGTTTCTCTCCACGTTCTATGCGATACCGAATGTTGTCGCTCGAACTTGCCGCCTGGGGGCCTCTAGTGTTCTCTTTGCAGCAGGCTCACGCCACGGCTGGAGCCATGACACCGCGACAGACAAAGGAGGGCGTTCCCCGCTCCAGCAGAGCCTTTCCGGGGCTCTCTGGACCCCCGCTCGCCCCTCCCCGTCGCACCCTCGGGCGCACCCTCACCCCCCCCCCCCCGCCCCCATCCCACCTCCGTGCCCTCGCTCCGCGGAGGCCTCTGGCAGTATCTGGAGGCCTCTGGAGCTCTGCGGAGGTCTCTGGAGGCACAAGAACAATATATAAAAAAAACAGCGACGACGACGACGACGACGACGACGACAACGAGAATGCCGACGCCAGCGCCGAGCGAGGACGAAGAGCGACGAGCGACGACAACGACGAGAAACGACGACGACGACGACGACGACGATGACGACGAGCGAGGAGCGAGAACCCCGGGGCGGCCCCTGGAGACTTCTGAGGTCTCTGGAAGCCCCAGAGGATCCTGGAGGTCGCCCGAGGCCTCGAGGAGGCCTTCTGAGGCACACAGAGGCCCGAATAGATCCGAAAACGTCAACAAACCCGAACCCTCAAACCTCAACAACAACGACGACGACGACGACGACGACGACAGCGACGAGCGACGAGCGACGAGCGACGACGCCGACACGGACGATGAGGAGGACGACGACGAGCGGCGACGACGACGACGACGACGACGACGACAACGACGACGACGACGACAACGACGACGGCGGCGACGAGCGACGAGCGACGAGCGACGAGCGACGACGCCGACACGGACGACGAGGACGACGACGACGACGACGACGACGATGACGACGACGACGACGACGACGGCGGCGGCGACGACGACGACGACGACGACGACGACGACGACCCCGAGCGACGAGCGACGAGCGACGAGCCACGAGCGGCGAGTGACGGCACCGACGACGACGCACGACGCAAAACGCCGACGACGACCACGACGACGACGACGAGCGACGACGACGACTACGACGACAAAGAGAAACAAACGACGAAAAGACGACAGCGCGGCCGCCGAGGGCCGCCCGAGAAGCCGCCCGAGGGCAGCCGCAGGGCCGCGGCGCCGCGGGGCCCCGCGGCACGCCGAAGAGGGCCGCCCCCGCGGAGGGCCGCAGGAGGCCCGCTGGTCGACGACGACGACGACGAGCGGCGACGACGACGAGCGACGACGACGACGACGACGAGCGACGACCAGTGACGACGACGACGAGCGACGACGACGACGACGACGACGACGACGACGACGACGACAACGACGACGACGATCGACGACGACGCGCGTTCTGAGGGCCGCGCAGCGGAGGGCCGCAGGAGGCCTGCCGGTCGAAGAGCGGGAAGCGGCGGCGCCCCACCGCGCTGCGCAGCTCCGCGAGCTCCGCCTGAGGCGGCCAGCCTCCCAGGGCCCCCCATCGAAGCACGGCAGGGAATCACGACGGGAGGCTTTCCGCCACTTTCGGCCTCTGGCTCCACCGCCTCCTCCTCCTCCTCCTCCTCCTCCTCCTTCCTCCCTCCTCCTCCCTCCTCCTCCTCCTCCTCCTCCTCCTTCCTCTTCTCCTCCTCCACTTTTCGGCCTCCTCCTCCGCCTCCTCCTCCTCCTCCTCCTCCTCCTCCTCCTCCTCCTCCTCCTCCTCCTCCTCCTCCTATTGCAGGGCCTCGTGGCCGTCGACAAACGACTGAGGACGAGAAGCTGGTTCCAGGAAATGGGTCGAGACCTCCAGGGTCGAAGTTGTTCAAAAATCATGACGTCGGGGTCTGGGCTGGAGCCTATCCCTGTCCCTTCGGCTACGCATAGGAGTGACCCTACGGCAAGAGTGACCTTTGGTGTGCGCGATTCCACGGGGGGACGTGGGGGGGGGGCAAGCAAAACGTGGGGTGGCCAAGCAAGAGAGCGCAAGCCGCTGCTACCGCTTCGGAAGCTGCGCATCCAGCGTTCGGGGGACACCGTTTTGGGCCCGCACCAAAGGTCACTCCAGCGAGAGATCGTTTTACGTCTAGTCGATACCTAGGATGGGCAAGCCCCAGGCGGCGACAGTCTCAGGTATGTGCCCTCAGAGACTGGGGGAAGCTCTGAGATCGGCACCGAGGCATAAAGTGATGCCAAACGCAATAGCAGGGATACACCTCAAGCTGGTATTGAGGGGCTGGCGAGATCTCCTCTCTCACTCCGTCCTGTTGTTGTCGCTTTCTCTGGCTTTTTCGTTGCTTCTTGTTTCCCACAACGAGCGCAAGCAGCCAGCGAAGCATTGCGTATGCCTGAGGTGGTCCCGCCACGCGACTTGCGGCCGTGAAAGTGGAAGCTGGCACGCAAGATGGAAGAGGGAAGAGGGGAAGAGGAAGAGGAGGAGGAGGAGGAGGATAAGACGAACAACGGTCTTCCCAGCCACTTAGGAGGAGGAGGAGGAGGAGAAGAAGGGCGAAGGCGCTGTGCGAATATCCCTTCCGGCTCAACGGGAACTCGTAGATTGACAGATCACAATTTGATTAATTTCGTCCGCTCTCGTTCGTCCCGTTTCGCTTCGCCCAGCCTCCATTTCATCTGGAAATTCATGGCTTCATTTCGTTTGGTGTTCGATGCATCCGCGTTCATTTCGTCCAGTTTCGACTCGTCCAGCTCTGACGAGCCTGTCGATTAGTCCAGAATCATGTCGTACGGCTTCGTTTCGTCCGCGTTCATTTTGTCCGAGTTCGATTCGTCTGGCTCCATTGCGTCAGCTGTCAACTCGCCCCGCTAGATTTCAGCTGATCTCAATTCGCTCCGCTTCATCACGTGCCGTTTTATTTCGTCTGGTCTGATTCGCCCAGCTTCATCACGTGCCGTTTTATTTCGTCTGGCCGAAGCCTTCGACTCGCTCGTGTCTGGCTCGTCGTGTCGACTTACGGGGCGACACGAAAGCGGACGAAGCGAGAGCGGGCGGAACGAAAGAAGCCGAAACAGAGGCGGACGACACAGAAGCCGACGAACACATCACGAACGAGCACCGACGTTTCCGGGTCCTGCTCACGCCGGAATGGCAGACCCAGAGGGTGCTGGTCTTTCAAGGGGCACCTCTTGCATCGAAATAAGGCTTCTCGGGACCAGTGAAGAGGAGACTTTGGACGGGATGGTGTACTGCAGCATCACTGAAGCATCTAGGCCTCACTCTGGTCCTCCTCCTCCTCCTCCTCCTCCTCCTCCTCCTCCTCCTCCTCTTCCCCCTCCTCCTCTTCCCCCTTCCTCCTCCTCCTCCTCCTCCTCCTCCTCCTCCTCCTCCTCCTCCTCCTCCTCCTCCTCCTCTCCTCCTATGCGTCTTCTATCTTCTCTTCCTCCTCCTACCTCCTCCTCCCCCTCCCCTCCTCCTCCTCCCTCCTCCTCCTCCTCCTCCTCCTCCTCCTCCTCCTCCTCCTCAAAAAAAAAAAGAAAAAAAAAAAGAAAAAAAAACTCCTCCTCCTCCGCCTCCGCCTCCTCCTCCTCCTCCTCCTCCTCCTCCCTCCTCCTCCTCTCCTCCTCCTCATCCTCCTCCTCCTCCTTCCATCCTCCGCCTCCGCCCCTCCTCCGCCTCCTCCTCCTCCGCCTCCTCTCCCTCCTCCTCCTCCGCCTCCGACGCCGCCGCCGCCTGCGCCTCCCGCCTCCCGCCTCCGCCTCCCGCCTCCGCCTCCGCCCCGCATCGCACCGCATCCGCATCCTCCTCCGCCTCCTCCTCCTCCTCCTCCTCCTCCTCCCTCCTCCTCCTCCTCCTCTCCTCCTCCGCCTTCCCGCCTCCTCCTCCTCCTCCTCCTCCTCCTCCTCCTCCTCCGCCTCCTCCTCTCCTCTCCTCCTCCCCTCCTTCTCGCTCCTCCTCCTCTCCTCCTCCTCCTCCTCCTCCTCCTCCTCTTCCTCCCTCTTCCGCCTCTTTTTTCCTCTGCCTCCTCCTCCCGCATCCTCCCCCCCTTGTCCTCCGCCTCACCTCCTCCTCCTCCTCCTCCTCCTCCTCCTCACCTCCTCCCTCCTCCTCCCTCCTCCTCCTCCTCCTCCTCCTCCCGCCTCCTCCTCCTCCTCCTCCTCCTCCTCCTCTCCTCCTCCTCCTTCCTCCCTCCCCTCCTCCTCCTCCTCCTCCTCCTCCTCTGCCTCTCCTCTCCTCCTCCTCCTCCGCCGCCGCAGCCGCCTCCGCTCCGCCCTCCGCCTCCGCCTCCGCCGCCGCCGCCGCCGCCTCCCCTCCTCCTTCCTCCTCCTCCGCCCCTCCTCCGCCTCCTCCGCCTCCTCCCTCCTCCTCCTCCTTCCTCCTCCTCCTCCTCTCCTCCTCCTCTTCCTCCTCCTTCTCCTCCTCCTCCTCCTCCTCCTCCTCTTCTTATTATTCTTATTATTATTATTCTTCTTATTATTATTATTCTTATTATTATTAGTCGTCTTCTTCTTATTATTATTATTATTCTTCTTATTCGTCTTATTATTCTTATGATTCGTCTTCTTATTCTCATTAGTCGTCGTCGTATTAGTCGTATGTTGCTTATTCTTCTTCTTATTAGTAGTATTCTTCGTCTTATTATTATTAGTAGTCTTATTCTTATTATTCGTCTTCTTCTTATTATTATTATTATTCGTATTCTTCTTCTTCGCCTTAGTATTCTTATTATTAGTAGTATTCTTCTTCTTATTATTATTCGTATTATTATTATTCGTCTTCGTATTCGTCTTCGTATTATTATTCTTCGTATTCTTATTCTTCTTATTAGTATTATTCGTATTATTATTCTTATTCGTCTTCTCATTAGTATGATTATTCTTATTATTATTAGTCTTCCTCTTATTATTATTATTATTATTATTCTTACTATTCTTATTATTCTTAGTATTATGTTTCGCCGTATTCTTCTTATTCTTCTTATTCTTATTCTTATTAATCTTCTTATTCGTCTTCTGAGTATTCTTCTTATGTTTCTTCCTCGTCTTCTTCGTCTTATGATTATTCTTCTTCTTCGTCTCATTATTATTATTCTGTTTATTCTTATTATTCGTCTTCTTCTTCTTATTATTAGTATTATTATCTGTCTTATTAGTATTCTTATTATTCTTATTATTATTATTATTATTCTTATTCGTCTTCTTATTATGATTATTCTTCTGATTATTATTCTTATTATTATTATTATTCTTATTATTCTTATTATGATCCTTCTTCTTATTATGATTATTATTATTATTATTCTTCCTCCTCGTCCTCCTCCTCCTCCTCCTCCTCCTCCTCCTCCTCCTCCTCCTCCTCCTCCTCCGCCTCCGCCTCCGCCTCCGCCTCCGCCTCCGCCTCCGCCTCCTCCTCCTCCTCCTCCTCCTCCTCCTCCTCCCGTCCTCCTCGTCCTCCTCCTCCTCCTTCCTCCTCCTCCTCCTCCCTGCTCTCCTCCTCCTCCTCCTCCTCCTCACTCCTCACCTCCCTCCTCCTCCCCAGCGCGGGCGCCCGCCTCGGCGTCCCGCGCAGCCGCCGCCTCTGGGCCTGCCAGGCCGGCGCTCGGGGCGGGGGTAGGTTGGGGGGGGGTCGTAGGAGGAGCGGGCGCCAGCGGAGGAGGAGGGAGGCCGGAGGAGGGGACGAGAGGGGAGAGGGGCTGGGGGACAGGGGGGGGTGAGGGGCGAGGAGGAGGGGTGCGCCGCAGGAGGAGGGGGAGAGGGGTTATGGGGGGGGGCCGAGGAGGAGGGCGCGCCGCAGGAGGAGGCAGAGGGCGGGGCCGAGAAGGAGGGGGCGCCGCAGGAGGAGGAAACGGAGGACGAGGAGGAGGGAGGGGGGGTTGGGGGGGAGGGGGGAGGCGGAGTCTTTTTCCCGCGATCACAACTCGGCGAGTGACTCGCGACGGCGTTGCGTATCTGAACGACCAGGCCGCAAAAATCCCAGACAAGACAACCTGGAGGCGGAGGGGAAAGAGGCAGGGAGGGGAGTGGACGGGGGGCGGGCGGCAGGAGGGGAGAGGGAGGGAGGACGGCGGGAGGAGGGAGATGGAAGCAAGGAGGGAGGGGGCAAGCTGGGTGCGCTCGCGCCACAACATCTGACATCATACACCTCCCTCCCTCTCATCCCTTCCCATTGCGCTGCTATTTCTCTCTATTCGCGCACGCGTGTCATAACTGAAACTCCAGGAAAGAACCCCATCGCGCTGCGCGGCGTAACCGGAACATTGGAACTGCGTACATAGGAGGAAAAAGTGGCGGACGAGCAGGAGGATGAGCAGGAGGAGAAGAAGGAGCATCGGGAAGGAAGAGGAGGAGGAGGACGAACGGGCGAACGGGAGCAGCAGGAACTGGAGTGGAAGGAGCGGGAGGAGCAGAAGGACCAGGGGAAGGCGGAGGAGGGGAAAATCGGGGGCGACAACAATGAGGAAGGACTCGGACCCAGAGAAATGGACCGCGCAGAGGCGAGAGCACCAAACGGGAGCAGAGCCGATCCCAAAATGAGACCCACGCTGCAGCGGGGTCACGACTTTGAAAGGACCGAAAGTTTTCGGACTGAAACAAACACACACACACACACAGACAGACAGACAGACACAGACACAGACACAGACACAGACACAGACACAGACACAGACACAGACACAGACACACACACACAAAAAAAAAAAAAAAAAAAAAACTCCCTCACCATGTGCGTAAACAAAATACGCTGAGGGGGGGGCGAGCAATCTCAGCACATACTCGGTAGAGAGAGAGGAGAGTTGTATTCTCAGTACGTAATTGTAGAAAGAGGGGATATGTCCTATTGGACGGATTCGTAATCATTTCGAACAGGGGTCCGCTCGAATTTCAAAGGTTTGAATAATGTGAAAGACTGAGAGATTGAAAGATTGCTCAATTTGGAAATTCCAAAATGAAATATTGACAGAATTGACAGATTGTTCAATGCGAAGCTTCTGGATTGAAAAAATGGCAGAATGAAAAACCCAATGAATCGTCAATATGCCAATATGTCATTCCTGGACTCCCGGATTAAAGAATCGTTCAATCTCTCTTTCTTTTAACCTGTCAACCGGGGATGTCGAATGAACGATAACGAACGACGTTTCAAAATTTCACTCCCTGCAACTACGTGTTCATCCGGAAGATCAGAAAATTTAGTCTTCCGTGTACATTCAGCTCCAAAGGCTTCGGCGCTCAATGGGAACAGAAAAACTCTAATCTTTCAGTCCTTCAACCTGAACACCCCGTACTGAAGAACCTTTTCTTTCTGAAATTTATCACCCCAGACGTCCCAGACTGAAACCTTTCAACCTTTCACTATTTCAATCATCGGCCCAGTCTTTCAATATTTCAACCATTCAATCTTTCAATCACTCAGTCTTTCAATCCGCCCTTTCTCCGACCAAAGCCTTCCAATACTTCCAGTCATTTCAGTTGATCAATTGATCAATCCCTCCCAGGGCCGCTCGGCGAAAAGCAAACGGCTGATGTGTGTCTCTTGGAGCATGCGGGGCCCAGCCCATCATCAGGATTGCTGCGTGTGGGATGCTCCAATGCGCACTCGCCCCGCCCAGATCCCCGCCCCCAGACGCCTCCCTCGACTGCGCCCCAAGGGAAACTCCCTTTCGCCTCTCCCACGAGGCCCCTCCAAAGGGGGGAGGCGCCATGCGTCGCCTCGGCCGGGGCCTCGCTCCGCGACCGGCGGGAGGATCCAACTCCAGGACCAATGAGAGTCGGGCCTCGACGCGCGACGACGCGCATCGGTGCGGGCATCCTGCCTCGTCATCGCAGCGTCGCGGCTGCGTCGCATCGGCGGGGGCTTTGCTTTGCCATTGGTCTCGCTTCTGGGGAGACCGAAAAGTACCGGTACAGACTCCCCGGACCTCTCCCGGGGTGCGTTCTGACCAGCGGTGGCGACAGACGCCTCCCAGGAGGCCAACAACGGGGGGGAAGCGAGGGAAGGGCAGCGTTACCTGTTCCTCCTCTGAGCTTCGCGGCACCGCCACGGCGCGGGGAACTCGGGATCACGACAGCGCATCGCGGCGCTGCGCGCGCTGGCGCAGCTGCGCCGCATCCGCGAGCGGGGCCCCGCTCCTGGAGGCCTCCCAGATGGGGTCCGAGCAGATGGGGCCGAAGGATCGCGCCGCATCGCCGATGCAGCGCCGATGCATCAGCGATGCATCGGCGATGCATCGGCGATGCATCGGCGACGTCGGCGGCACATCGGCGACGTCGGCGCGGGGAAACACGGGCCCCTCCTCCTCCTCCTCCTCCTCCTCCTCCTCCTCCTCCTCCTCCTCCTCCTCCTCCTCCTCCTCCTCCTCCACGTCGAGCCGCGCCGGCGGTGACTCGGCGATGCGGCGCGGTCCTCCGACCCGGACCCCGGGAGGCCCAGGGCGCCGGGGCA